TTATGGAAAAGTGCATTTACACTCACATATCCTGGTTAAACAATCTATAGAAACGGATATCTGCAAACACACCGGATATGCAAAAATAGGCATGGCAATAAATCCAATTTATCTGGAGTGCAATGCAACATTAACAAAAACACAGATGCATGCAGATGAGACAAAGCATATACAATTATTGGATGACTGGAAAACACACACAAGCACACAGATACAACACATATGGAGTGTTCATGTGCAGCCTGGCACTTTGCATGTGGTGGAAGCTTTTATCCTGACCTTCCTGTGGTGGGATACATGTATTTTTAGTGCACAAGGACTCAGTGGGAATAAAATAAGAGGTCATAAAATGTAAGATCCGTGAGCATTAGCCACTGTGAGGAAGGAACAGAACTCGACAAGGGTATACACAGATATATAGTAAGCATTCAACAGTCGACCTAACAAGGTATGTATAAAGGATGCTTACATGCATTTGTAATTTACTGTGTAAAGATCATGTTTAGTATAATAAATCATTGGCACAGTGGTGCTGGTACGTTATTGTAAAACAAATGAATTTGTAACTTAGAGGACTGGCAGACTTTGTACTACATTATAATTTGTTTGCAGCAGGTACAGATTTGACCTCGAAGCTGATACAAAACGTATTTCTGATCCACTATAGTTTCATTTTCAAATTAGATTAACTCTCATGAATGCATATTAGCTAAGATGGAGCGGAGCAAAAATAAAACAAGGATGGGGGAGGGTGACAAAGTAACTATATGAAAGGATGAGGCAGATATTAGAAAATAATGGTTAGAAAATAATAATCAGTCGAACTTTTTCAAAAGCACAGGCCTTTGCCTCATAATCAGAGGGATACAGACTTGCTAGAAACCAGGTAGCCTCCTGTTTTCTACTTGTGCTCTATATGTTAATTTGTTTGTACTGTGTTATGATGTTTTAAATTTGTTTATTTCTGGCACTTTAATTTCTGTGGTCCTGATGTTCATTTTGTATGCTTCTCTTCAATGCTTCTGAAGAACATTGGTATAACTCTTTGTTTTAAATGCACTTTATAAATACATTTTAATTTGATTTTGATTAATTTAATAAAAATGCTAGAAACAGAAACTATGATAGGTACTGTACAAGAAAACAAAATCTAAAGATAACACCAACAGCAGGAAGAGGGCGAAAAAAGGAGGGATTTCTAGAGAAGTCATGGGAGCACAGGTGTGATTCTTTGACCAGGTTATTAGCTATTGTGTGTGGTGACAGCTCTAATGGAAAAAATGACAGGCAACTTAGAAGAGAGAGATGGAATGTGAAAGGTATGGAGCCTAAATAAAGAACTCAGATAGAAATATAAAAGGCAAGATGAAAAAAGACAAAACAATGAAGAAAAAGATGATGTAGAGGGGAGCGGAATATAGGCGGAAGTGAGTGTGATAAATGGAGATTATAAATATGTGATTTGTTGCACAAAAGCCAGACATGGTGGAGCAGCTATATCCAGATTCCAGTACAAATATAGCCATATAGAAGAACGATTGGCCCAGTCCTCCATTAACATTAAGCACGCTGTCATGAGCATGACAGAAGAAAGAAAACAACAGTGACGTTTCATATATGGCAGTATGGCGGCTTTTGTCGGAAGCAAAATATATTTTATGAAACTTTTTGACAGTATAAAAAGGTATATTATAACATACAGTAACTAACTATAATTAGACAACATTCAGAGAGTGCACACCTCTGCCAGAGGAGCTCACTGTCCCCATAATACCATTCCCATGATTGTTTGACCCTTATAACATGATTCCATGAGCATAAAAACCTACTCCTAGCATTTGGAACCACAGTGATATTATTCTTAGTTTCAAAGTTAATCAAGAAAAATCATACTTCAGTGATGGAGATTTTCTACAGCTCCGTAACTTTTGAAGACACGTGAGATCTGTCGACCCCCTACTGAATCAGCAGCGTTTCAGCAGCTTGGTGTTAGTTGCAAGGCTGTAGCATTATTTGTTGTCTCACAAATGTGAGCCCTATTAATTTGAACATTCTGGATCAGCAGATTCAAAATATTACTTGGATCCAGATCAGACTCTGGTGTGTGAAAAATCTTATGTAGATGTTATTATGCAATGTTTGTCCACACATTCGAGGCATTGTGCATGGTAATAATTGGCCCTAATATCTCACAGTGGTGATGAATCCTTTAGGAAATTCTTGTATCTAGATAATGATCTGGATCAGCACCAAAATCTAGGGTGAATGAGTCAGTGAGGGAGGGTTTTACAGCACAGCACATACCTTGCTACAGCGTTTGTTAAGCCACAGCCGCTTTAAGCAATATATAAACCACTTAATCAGGATGTCTTGTTGAGTTCAAGATCTGTTTTACAGGAGAGACCCCAGTAAAAAAAAGAAAAACTAGTATAGCCACACAAAACACTGGAACCAATACACAACCAGATAAAAATCAAATCTTGAGGATTTGATATAAATCCCTAAATCCCCATATGTTCTGTGGCTGTTGAACAAACTGTCACGTTACAGAAGCTCTAACTTCTGTTTCACTGTGACCTTAATTTAACTCTGTTTCTCAGGATTAAGAGAAAAAAAGTCATCCGAGAGGACGTGGAGGCCTTTTGTGGAGCTCTATTATTTTAAAATCTAGTATTTACTTTGTTCTTTTGTGCACTTTCTTTGTATGTTTGTTATTACAATTTGTTATTTTGAAAGTTCCCTAAATACATTTGCTTGAACAGCATTAAACAACACTGACTATTCTATTATAACATAACATTACAATATGTCGGAGACACAAAGGCGTAGGACGCTGTCAGGGACACAATATCCTCCGTCTGCTTGATTAACATCTGTCTTTATTATTTGGGTTTGATCTGGTTCTATCAAAGTGAACAGCATCTTATGAAACAAACTTGTTTTAACATAAGATTTCTTTCAAAATAAACTCATGAGCAGAGTTTGAACAATGAAAAAAACTTTAATGCTGATGGGCAGCCAGCAGGTTTTCTACTTAAAAGTTAACTGTCAGCTACTTAAGCTCTAGATGGTTAAAAACTCCTTATGTTGCTTCATTTTTTTTTTTTTTGCTGGAATAGCGTTGTCTACAAAGGACAAGACGTGGCATGGACAGAGTTATATTATGTCTGCAGTGGAGTGCATACAATAAAAGAAAGGGAATAAAACATCTGAAAGACTTTTCGCCCAAGCTTGAGCTACAGGCCGACATAATAATGTAGCACTTGTCAGCACACTGACCGACACCTGTCGCCTCCTCCGTGTCTGGGAGCAAATACAACACCTGCAAAGTAACGGGAGCTTCAGATTGCCCCCTCCCTTTCAGTCAGTCAAATACAAGTATGTCGTAGATGTAGCCTCAGGAAGGGCACATCAGAATGATCTGATATTTGGCATTTTTAGATAATCAGCATCGTCTGTGCTCATGGTGCCAGATAACAAAACCTGTCTGCAGGCTGCCTTGTCAGTGTGGCTGCTGTGGAACGATGTTAGTGCTCCCCTTTGTGTCAATTTTGCCATTCTACAATAAAGATACTTTAAATGGGCAGCCGTCAGTGAGACAACATGAATTTTTTATTTTCAAATACTTGAAATAAGTAAAACATTTTCACAATTCATTTGGGTGCAATTCAATTTAGGTGCAACAAACCTGCTCTCATTTCTTATTTTTAAATTGTTGTATCTTATGCAAAAAAATATAACAAAAAAAAAAAAACAGCACAATATTGGCCTCTTTGGTTTCTAAAGATCAGCTTGAGCATCAGCCACTGAAAGTCCCATATCGGGCAAACACTAAGAGTAAAATACCTTAGTGTCTACACCTGTGGTACTAGATGGACTGCCATGGAAGTTGATACAGACATTTGCATTACTTTAAAAATTCATCCTGATATCCTTATTCATCCCCAGACTCTATCTAGCACCATCAAGAGGTCAAATCACATCATACGTCCATAGTTCATGATCAAATACTGTCTCTTAAAACCAGTCAGCCTCACATGGGTGGTGGTGTGGCTCTGGACCTTCAGCCCAGTGTAGGCACACTGAACAAAGTGCTTTCTAAAGGCATGTAAATACTGTATGAAAATATGTGTGCAACAAAGTGAAAGACTGTTTACTTGGGGGACATCACTTAAAATGAATAAAGCCAAACAACAGCAAAAAAAAAAAAAAAAAACAGAAAGGAGAAAGAAAAAAGATTAAGGAGAAAGAGGGAGCAGTGGTTTATTGCTGTGTCATACCAACCCAGACAATACTGGTGTTTTGTGTGTGTGTGTGTGTGTGTGTGTGTGTGAGAGAGAAGGAAAGGTCAGCATGAAACAACAGGAAGTCAAATGTGGGAGAAAAGAGATTAGAGAGAGAAGGATTTGGGAGAGAGGAAAAGAGCATGAGGGGGAGCGGGACTAAGGAGGAGGAGGAGGAGGAGGAGCAGGGAGGCTAAAGAAATTAAACATTTACAGATAACTGTAAAAGAACAGAGGTGAGGGAGAAGAGTGACTGGTGAGGTGAAACAAAAAATTAAGAGTTGGAGGGAAGGAGGAGGGAGGAAGAGGAGGACAGGTGTGATGGCACACAGTTCGGGTGTTTGCTTAGCTGAGAGTGGCAGCCGTGGAGCAGAGGATTATGGGATTATGGACAGTGCTGTTGGTCATGTTAGTCATGTGACCCCGCTTACCTTGACTCAGTAAGGAAGCTTAGCTTTATGTGACGGTGAGGTCTCTCACACACACACACACACACACACACACACACACACCTGCCCACCCTTCTCTGTCTATGTCCTGGACAACTCCTCTACCTCTCTTTGGCTTTGTTGTTGTTGATTTTACTTTTTTCTGGGTTTTTCTTCTACTCTTCCCACTCTCTCCTCTTTTTTTAAAACTCTTTTTAATTTTCTCGTCTACTGTATTTCTGTCTCTTCACCTCCCTCGCTCCCTGTTTCTCTTTTCTGGATGTCATGCTCCTTTTTGCTGCATGTTGTACATGCCCAGCTTATCCTTGCCCCCGCAGATTCCTTCCTTCTTCTTTCTTGAAAAGTTGGGATTAAAACTGAAGACTGAGGAGTAAAGAGCCATAATATTAGGAGCAGAAACTCAGACGATGTTCAGACTGTGAGAAGTGAAAACAGAAACGCTGCGGCCTCGGTAAGTTTGACTTGACTTGGTATGACAGCTGTCAACAGCATTTATCCAGTTTTAGTAGTTTAGTATTTTTGGCTTTTAGCTTAAATTATTTTACACCTTAAAAATAATAAACCTGTTTACATAAAGGAGATGAAGAAATAAAATAAAGAAATGGTTTTACCACTGAATTAGATATTGGAATACACATGATCGCATAGTCAGTACAAAGTAAAAATAACATTATTATTTAAATAATAAGGGCACAATGGTAAGGCTCATTCTTTTTAAATCAGTGGCCCTTGGTAATTAGTCTAAAATGGAAAAATATTAAAATGTAACGAGTAGCTAAATGAGTTTTCAGAGAAAATTAATCTGTGCATGATCAATAAAAAGTAGGTCCAGTTAAAAATGTGTTGATTGTCAACTTACTATTCACTGTTCTAAGCATCCCAATTGAAATTCCATTTACTTTCACTTTAGCAGACCGGCTGCAACAGGTTCAAACTTGCATATATTGGCTGATGTACCTGATTTATCACAGGTGTCGATGAGTTGTTGTTGTGGTGTATGTCAGCTGATAAGCAGAAAATTTTTATTTTTATGTTACTGTGTGTAAAAAATCAAAAAACCTGAAGAAATGCAAAAACTGTGTCACTATTACAGCAAACAGCACCTGTATAATGAACTCTGGTAAACTACTACTGGATGTAATTCGTTATTGAACTGTTAATACAGTAGCGTCCCACTGGAATCGAGACCACAGCTAGAGGGATAACCGATCCATCTCAGAAGAAAAACATCAATTTGGTAGCTACTTGACAAAGGTCAAGGTGTCACAAAAAACAATTAGGATGTGAGCTCAGTAAGAGAAACGACAAAAGGTAATTATAAACAAGTGCTGAATGGGCTCCGGAAAACAGGACCACTACTTTTTGAATCCTTCCAGTTGTTTTATTACCAGTCACACAGCCTTTACTGGCAGTGACAGTAGAGGTTAAAGACAACTAGAGAGGGAGATGTTGTGGTTGGTATACAGTCAGTCAGTAATACACAGTTGAATGTGTCACTTAACTGCTTCCTTACCAGGATAATCCCAAACATTCAGAGCAGACAGTACCATCTAACAATACGTTACATTTATTCTGCACAGGAAGACTGGTGCATCCTGCCACTAGTTCAGGAAAAAAGGCCACAAAACCAGCAGCAACAACTTTGTCAGATGATGTATACAAGTATACTCTTTTAAGAACCATAAGAACCGCTACTTTTCTATGATCTTGTTAAGCTGAACAGTGATTTGCTGTAGCACAGCTGCAGTGGCTCTCTTCTGGCACCAGATTGCAGTGACAAATGTATCGTCCTAATCTCAGCTGCTTTCACATCCTGATTGAAACCTACAGGCATTTTCTCTCTGTTCATTGAGCAGCAGGACAAAAAAAACAGCATGGCTAGAGAACATTAGAGAGGTAGAATGTTAATTTACTTACAATAAGGAGATCTCAATCTGCTCTTCCCCTTAGAGGCTCCACATTTTAGAAGAAAACACAGTAGGGTTCTCTTAATTTAAGTCCTGAAAAAACGTTTTCAGTATAGGTCCAACATTTGGTAGTCAGTGTTAAAGGTGGAAAGCAGCGGTAAGCTCGCAGCTTCAACTGCCAAGTTTTTAAACAAGACCTCAAAGTCTAAATTTAACATTTTAAACCTTTTTTTTTGCATTGGATATTTTTCTCCTCAAGTGCAAAATTGGATTTTGTTAACACTATTTGTTGATGACAGGATCAAATCCAAGTCCCAGCAGGTTATGATAACAGATTTCCTTGCTTCCTGCTAGTGGCATGGGAGAAGAGTGATAAATGCACTGTGAGATGAAAATGAACTAGAAAAACACATTAGAAAATAAAATGACAAAAATCTGAAATGCTAAGATTCATAATTCATGAATTCCTTCTTGGGTGAAGAAGATGCCATAACAATGATATGAACTACTGACACTTTTACCTTTTATTAACAACTATCTACATTTGAATTTAATAAAGATAAATATATAGAATTTTTCAAAACTTTATCATAATGTACTGTTCAATTAATTGGTCTTTCAAAAAATTAATCTCTGAACTAACGTAACATACAGGCCGACTAGTGTCTCAGCATTAAGGCTGAGTTGTCTTTTGTTGCTTTGAGCCATGGAGGCATTGGGCTGAGGATCAGTCTGTACTCAGACAGACAAGTAAACACAGGCCAGAGGCTTAGTCTGAAAACACCACGTTTACCATTCGCTACTCTCACTGAGCCAAGAATTACATAGAGTACAGTGTGGGATTACAGCTACTGCAATAAAAAGGTCAACTGTTAGAGACCGGATTACTGGCACTTTTGTAAAAGCAGGTGATACCTGTAATAATAATATTGTATGTGATTGCCTGATCATGGTCAGTAAACATCAGGTTAGTAGCAGGAAAGATTAAGACTCTTAAATGACTTCATGGATCTGTTTTCAGTGTTTCACTTTTGCAGTGATTTTAAATTAGTCAGTACACAGTGAATAATTACAAGCCGATTGTCATGATTCTTTCAACTTTTATTACTCTTTGGTAAGATGGCAGAGTAGCTACTTCCTGTCTGCAGGCAAACCACTCTCTTTTCTGTGGTTTCTTCTTCGAACCCCAGAGTTGCACCTGGGTAATCGATCTCACCTGTAGCTTGTTATCTGCTGCTACTTAAAGGAATAATGCGGGATTTTTAAAGTTGGTGTTAGAACAATATTGATGTATCCATATGTATGTGAGAATACATCTTAGTCATCACTTCTCCTATTCTCCACACTGACTCTGAATGTTTCCACCTGGTACATGGCCACGCTACAGAACATGAGGGACAAACAGCAGCTCTCGTTCTGTAAAAACATGGACTCCAAAGTTCATCTGAGGCCCAAATGCGGCTCCAGAATGTGCACTTACATTTCCCGTTCAGGGCGGATTCCCAGTTGTCCCAAACCCGGAGCGCCCTCTGCTGGGTATCGCTGAGCTCTGCTACT